ACTGCTGCTGGACCGGGCCAAATGCACAATATAAATTTATGCAATTTTTCCCTTTTTCCAGAAACTGATTTGATTCATATTTGATAAATTTGAATTAAATTTTGATGATAATTTCTGTACAAAATTTATCCAACGATATTTTTTGTTCAGTAAATAGTGGGCTCAATTCCAGACTGTGACACGGTCACAGAGTACCTAGAAAGAATAAAGAGTCAGTTCACTGGCTCTTCAAAGACATATGCAACCCAGCTGATCAAGCAGCTGGTGACAGAAAAGTACTCTGGTGGCGGCAGTGGCATTAGAGAGCACATACTGAGAATGAGCAATTTGACATCTAAGCTCAAACCAATGGATTTGGCACTCAAGGATGAGTTTCTTATTCATTTGATTTTTGCTTCTTTGCCTAAAGAATTTGACACTTTTGTTGTTAATTACAACATACAGCCCGAGAAATGAGATCTAGAAAAGCTCATAGCCATGTGTGTGCAGGAGAAGAAAAGAATAAAAGTTTTACAGGGTGGTACTATCAACTACCTAAAAGATAATAAGAAAAAGAACTATAATAACAGCTCTTCCTCCAAGTCATCTGGAAAGGGTCCCATACAACAGTCTTAGAATAAGCAATTCCCAGTGGATAAAGACCAGTGTCTCTATTGTAAGAAAACGGGACATTATAAGAAAAATTGTCCCGATTTCCTAAAGATGATTATGAAAAATAAAGGTGAGAACATTATTACGTTCGTAAATGAATCCTTGTATGTCAAGTTTTCAAAATCTACTTTTTGGATTGATTCAGGTGCAACTATTCATATTGCTAATTCTTTATAGGGATTCCGTTCGATGAGAACTTTGCAAAGAAGCGAAAGTTTCATTAAAGTCGCAAATGGAGTACAAGCAGATGTTGAGGCCGTTGGCGATCTTCCGCTAGATCTTGCTGATGGCTTCATACTTTTTCTTAGAGATGTTCTTTATGTACCATCTTTGCAAAGAAACTTGATTAGTGTATCAAAGTTGGACCATGATGGTTATGATTGTCATTTTGGAAATGGCAAATGTCAGATATTGTTTAATAATAGATGTATTGGTCTTGCCTTCCGACAAGACGAGCTTTATTTGTTATCACTTTCATGAAAATGTGAATTTCGTATGTGATGTGAATGAGAATGTATCCTCATCGAACAATGTAAACAGAAAATGAAAGAGAGCTCACGATGTGTTGTCGAAATTATGGCACTGTCGTTTAGGCCATCTTTTGAGGGGGAGAATAGAAAGACTAGTTAAGAATGATATTCTTCCTCCATTAGAGCTCTTAGATTTAGAACAATGTAGAGATTGCATAAAAGGAAAGTATGTAAAGAAAATTAAAAAGGATGCTAAACGAAGCACATGAATTTTAGAGATAATTCACACAGACATATGTGGTCCTTTTCCTGTAAAAAGTGTGGATGGTTATGATTCATTCATAACATTCACAGACGATTACTCTCGTTTTGGCTACATTTATCCAATTAAAGAAAGAACGGAAGCATTGAATAAATTCAAAATATTTAAGGCAGAAGTTGAAAATCAGCATGATTTAAAGATTAAGATAGTCAGGTCTGACCATGGGGGGGGAGTACTACGGTCGGCATACCCCATATGGACAAGTTCCTGGATCTTTTGCAAGGTTTTTACAGGAGAATGGTATAGTCGCCCATTATTCAACACTGGACGAACCTCAGCAGAATGGAGTAGCTGAAAGGCGTAACCGTACCCTGATGGATATGGTGCGTAGTATGATTAGTTACTCCACTTTACCGTTGAGCCTGTGGATGGAGGCGTTAAAAACCGCCATTCATATTCTCAATAGAGTACCAAATAAGTCGGTGCCCAAAACACCGTATGAGTTGTGGACAGTGAAGAGTACCCTCACTAAACCACTTACGTGTGTGGGGGAGTCCTGCTGAGGCTAAAGTATTTAATCCAAACATTGGGAAGTTAGATCCCAAAACAGTAAGTTGCCATTTCATTGGCTATCCAGAAAAGTCAAAATGTTTTCGTTTCTACTGTCCAGATAGACATACAAAGTTTGTGGAAACGAGACACACTGTCTTCCTAGAGGATGAAATGATGAGGAGGAGCATGGTAGCTCGAGAAATTGATCTTGAGGAGAAACGGGTGTATGCACCCACTCCGATGGTTCAGGAGCCATTTTTCGAGCTACCTGCTGCTGCTACACCTACAATGCAAGATGTTGTGGTGCCAACACCTGTTGTTATTCCTCCTATGGCAACTACGAATGAGGATGAAGAACCCATGGTTCAGAATCCTACAGAACCTGTTGCCACACATGAGGGGGAGCAATGACAGCCTCAAACAGAAAATGTGCCAAATGTGGAGGTCCTTAGAAGGTCTCAAAGAGTTAGAAGATCAGCTATTTCTGATGATTATGAAATCTATAATACTGAAGAGTTTCATATGGAGGGTGATCCCACATCGTATGAAGAAGCCATGAGAAGCGAACACTCATCAAAGTGGTTGAAAGCTATGAAAGATGAAATGGAATCTATGAGTTCCAATGGTGTTTGGGATTTAGAACAAATTTCTAAAGGAGCCAAAACAGTAGGCTGCAAATGGGTCTACAAAACAAAATATGACTCCAGAGGGAATATAGAAAGGTTTAAAGCGCGACTTGTGGCGAAAGGTTTTACACAAAGAGAGGGGATAGATTACAATGAGACATTTTCTCCAGTCTCATGTAAGGATTCTCTCAGAATTATAATGGCATTAGTGGCACATTATGATTTAGAATTACATCGGATGGATGTAAATACGGTATTCCTAAATGGAGATTTAGAGGAAAATGTTTACATGGCACAACCAAAAGGTTTTGTTGTAGAAGGAAAGGAAAGAATGGGTTGCCGCCTAAAGAAATCCATTTATGGATTGAAGCAAGCTTCAAGATAGTGGAACTTAAAGTTTGACAGAACAATAAAGAATTTTAGGTTTAAAGAGAATGTTGAGGACAATTGTATTTATGCAAAGTTTAAGAATGGGAGATTTATTTTCCTCGTTCTGTATGTGGATGATATTCTACTTGCTAGTAGTGATGTGAGTCTGCTGCAGGAGACAAAGAAATTTTTGTCTTCAAAGTTTGACATGAAAGACCCTGGTGAAGCATCATATGTTTTGGGCATAGAAATTCACCGAGATAGAAGAAATGGGGTATTAGGACTGTCACAAAAGGCATACATAGAAAAAGTATTAAAGAAATTCAGTATGCATAAATGTAGTCCATCGCCTGCTTCTATAGTCAAAGGGCGACAGATATGGAGATTCTCAATGCTCCAGGAACCAGTACGAGCTCGATCAAATGAAAGCGGTTCCATATGCTTCAGCTGTCGGAAGCTTACAGTATGCTCAAGTGTGTACGCGCCCTGACTTAGCTTTTGTTACCGGGTTGCTTGGCAGATTTCAGAGTAATTCAGGAATGGAACACTGGGAATTGGTAAAGAAAGTCTTGCCATATTTGCAAGATACGAAAGGCCTCATGTTGACGTATAGAAGATCAGAATCTCTCCAATTGGTGGGGTACTCGGATTATGATTATGCGGGAGATGATAGAAAATCCACGTCTGGATATGTATTCACTCTCGCAATGGGAGTTATTTTATGGAAAAGCTCAAAACAAACCGTCACTATATCGTCCACAATGTATGCCGAGTTTGTAGCGTGTTATGAGGCAACGGGACAGGTGAACTGGCTAAAGAAGTTCATACCCGGTTTAAAAGTGGTTGACGACATCAATAGACCACTGAAGTTATACTGCGATAATAATCTAGCAGTACAGTATGCTCACAATAATAGGTCAAGTGGTGCTGCCAAACACATTGACATAAAGTATTATGTTGTGAAGGATAGAGTCTGGGATCAAATGATAAGTCTTGAGCATATAAGTACCGAAAAGATGCTCGCGGATCCGATTACAAAAGGCTTACCACCCAACGTGTTCAGAGAACATGTAGCCGGCATGGGTTTAAGGGAAAGCCTATGATTTCTGGACTATAAAGGGCCCAAAAGTTAAAGTATCTATTTCAGATCAGAGACGTGCATTGTAGCTGTTAAATCTATCGGCGATTGACCGTGACGATGAAACATGCTCTATGCATCATATGTGAAGAAATGAGTAAGGATAAAATGATTGAAGTTTAAAGTTTAAAGATAAAAGTAATAGTGTGAGATCAAAGGGGAGAATGTTGGATTGATATCCTAGCCAATAAGCCCAACGACCTATTGGGCCTTGGTCACGCGCCCTGATCGGGGGCACTGCGCTATATAAAGTGATGGGGGCGGACGGCTCATTGTACGAGGTTCACCGTGAGCCAATCCGCCCCACCAACAAACCCTAAGTCCGATCTAGTAAGGACGCGCAGCCAGCTAACAGGAAGACACCACCGTCATCACCGTCGGCCTCACTGCACCCCACCGTGTCGCCGGACTTCACCGACTCTTCTCCGATCATCGCTGCCCGTGCGCAGAACGTCACCGACAGAACGAGATGGCCGGATCCTCCTCGACGGCGCCCTCCGATGGTTTGTACACTCTCATCCACTCTCCTCTCTCTATCACTATCACTCTATAGTACGGTTCATTAGGTTATCTACTTATTCATCCCAAATACAAAGAACCACCCGGTGATCTTTGGGTCTAACACTCAATGGAAATCCTTTCTGCTAACCAACAGATCGAGGAGACGATGGATCCGAGAGTCACACGCACTGCATTCTGTCCATGGTATTTATGCCGGGCCATGTCCATGGCTGCCGCTAGCCTGCTGCCATCTTTGGGTCTAACACTCAATGGAAATCCTTTCTGCTAACCAACAGATCGAGGAGACGATGGATCCGAGAGTCACACGCACTGCATTCTGTCCATGGTATTTATGCCGGGCCATGTCCATGGCTGCCGCTAGCCTGCTGCCTGCTGGCACTAAGGTAGGACCTTGATCGGTACCTCTGGGCATGGACGTGACCTTCGTGTGCTCAGGCGAGGAGGCCTTCAAGATGGAGGTGGGCTACTTCGACACCGTGCAGGACGTCAAGGAGAAGCTCCAGAGCCGCCGAGGCTGGCCCGCGGCCGCCTCGTCGCTGCTCCACAACGGCGCCCTGCTCGAGGACGACGTCGACGGCGGCGGCGGCGGCGGCAGCGGCATTGAGCGGCACGGCGTCGTGGAGGGCTCCGTCATCCACGTCGCCCTCCTCGACGGCGCTCAGCACCAGCAGCAGCCGCAGCAGAACAAGAGGACGGAGAAGCGCAAGAGGCGTGGCGACGCCGCGCCGCCGTCGCCGCCGCTGCGGGTGACCGTCGTGTCGCGGTGCGGCGAGGGCCGCGTGGAGGTGGCCGTGGGCGCGCGCGCCGCGGTGTCGGTGCTGCGCGCGGGGCGGGGGTGCCGTTCCCGCTCCCGCGCGACGGCGCCTACTTCTTCATACATGGACAGAGCGTGATGGACGAGTCGCGGTCCTTCGAGTGGCACGGTGTGGCCAGCGGCGACGAGATCGTCGTGTTCGACGGCTCCGTGACGAGGAACCCCGCGTAGACTACTTGTGGTTTGGCCGGCGGCGCTTGCACACGTGCCCGCCGTCGCCTACGACCGGTGCAAACCGCTGTGCGAGCACTTCTAAGTTCTAACTCGTGGTTCGTGAATCGTTATATGACAAAATGCACCTTGATTCTTCTGCGCCCCATGGACATGGAGACTTGGCGACAACACAGTCTTCAGGGTTTCAGTACCGTAGGAACAACAAGGTCTCCCATGGTGTCAGACAGTGGCAACCAGCCTGCGAATCCATACAAAATTGCCGTCAAAACGCAGCGGCACCTGATCGGTTTCATGGTCTATTTTCACTTTCGGTGCTTCAAACTTATACCAGTCTATTCCCTCAAAAGGGAAAGGGAGAACACTTGATTTTCATCAGTTGCAGGCCTGAAATACCTGGAGCAGCAACAAAAAAATACAAGCGGTTTATGCCCAAATATCAAAGCTATCGCATTCATCAGATTTGTATTCACAACCAGAAATTTTGATTGATCGTTTTCCAATTTCGATAGTCTCAAAAAGACGAAAGGTATCCTTTCCCTGATTACAACAGCACGACAAAGTATCATCCTCAGCATTCTTTGCTTCAAAGAAATGCGTGTGCAGAAAAATAAAATAAAACTAAGAATTGGACGATCCATGAACACTAGAACAAAGCCATGTTGCAGTGTCGCTATCATGTATACAAGCTGAAGCAAATCTATCCCTTTTCTCTTTCCTATTTATTTACATCTGATGGCCAAAAGGAGGCCTGCTCAATATCTGTTGGTAAGCTGGTGGAGATGCATTTGCCATTGGGAAGAGTGGTTGCGAGACAGGCTCTGCCTTTGGTTCTCCCGGCATCATAAGACCTGGGTACCCCTGCATAGCTGATGAATTTCCAACCATCTTTGTAGGGGCAAGTGATCCTAAAGAGGGCATTGGGATCGTCATGCCTGGCGGAACCATCCCGAAGCGGAAATTGCCAGTTGTTTGTCCCAACTGTCCACTCGGTGGGAGACCGAAGGAGCTGAAAGGAGAAGCCATACCAAAGTGAGCGAAGCTGGCTTGTGCAGGTTCTTGCCTACGGTGAGAACCACCAGCTTGTGGTGCAGATGGAGCGCTGCTAGAACCAGAACTACCTTGCCCACTGTTTCTGGCCGCTGGAACTTCATGGTTGTGCTTTCCCTCATATGTTGTGATGACTGATTTCAGATCATGTGATGCTCTTTCCACATGCTTGCGCACTGAACAGCCCGGGTGTGTACATTTGTAGTAGCTCCTGCAGACAAGTGAATCAATGTTACTAATTTCAGGGGATGGAGGAATACAGTTAAGCAGTGTAAGAAATGGTAGTGAAAGTGTGACCTTGGATTTGGATTGCCCTTAACAACCTTCTGCCCATACTTGCGCCACCGATAACCGTCATCAAGAATGTCTACCTCACTTGTGGTCTGAACAACAACCCTAGGCTCCCGGACAGCTCTTGAGGCTGCAGGCCCCATGTCAATGGTACTGGTGGTGGAGGTAGTAGTAATAGCAGTAGCTCCTAAAGCATCTAGTTCCAGCTTCCTGAAAAAGAGTATCAGTGAATTCAGTACAGTCTCTGCATCAAGTCTTAAGTGGTTAACTGATAGACAATATTGACCTTCTTTTAGATTCAGTCTCATCTTCATCACCATCACACTCTATAGAAACAGTACCACGCGTTGCCCTCTCCTCCTCTTCATTAGACAGTGTTGACGAGACATCAACTGCATCTTGAGACTCCAGGAGAGATGCATTACTATGCGCTGATACAGGAAGAAAAGCAGCTGATCTATCCTCGACACCTTTGCCCTGCACCTTTATATTTGTTTCGTCAGCTTGCTGTTGGTCAGCTGAATAGTGACTATCACTGAACATGGAGCTAGATGTCTTCGCTTTAACAATTGTTGCACTAGTGTTATCCTTGACTGCGGTAAAGCTTGACTGAAGACTGGATTCCTGCTGATGAATATTCGACAACGACTGCTTTTGCTGATAGGCACCATAGTCCTGTAGATCAAAACTTTTTTTTAGGCACATGAATCAATTAAAAGGTATTTCATACAAAAAAACAAAAAGAGGTTATTTTGGTGGTGAGGTTGGCATTAGAAGGAAGCCAAATAGTACTATAACACTACACTGCAAAAAGGAGGAAAAATACAGGTAGACACTAACAATCAAGGAAATAACCTTTTCTGCAGTAGAGAAACCTGTTTGTTCAGAACCTAAGTGGGGTTGGAAAGAAAACACATCATTATCAAATGTAGAATCTTCAGTTATCTTGGCAGCTGGTGGTATTGTTGACTTATCATTCGTAGCCATCAAAAATGGCAATGTGCCAGTGGTTGGAGAAGGCTGTGCCTGCAATATATATCATAACCAATTCAGCTAAGTCCGCATGGCAAATATTAAAGGGCAGGCACAGGGATGAATTTGTAAGTGTTGGTCCAAAATTAGCAGCTATAGAATCAAAACAGAAGCCAAGCTTCTAAGACACCAATCAGAGGACTATATTTCTAATATAACAATGTTTTGCACAGTAGACAACAATCGGTGCTGTAGTCACATGCATAAGTATACTGTAGAAAATCATGTTCTATACAGTAGGCACCAATCAATGTTCTTCTATACTGTACCAAATTCAATGTCTGAAAACTGCAATATGAAAGTCTTCAGTGCTTGCTCCAATTATGACTTTATTTCAACCTTGGATAATAGTGTAACAGATAAATCTTGATAGCACAAGAAACCAATTAAGGAAATATCACATACCATTTTATTGTAGAGAAAAACAGGAGACTCAAGAAGTGTAGTTGGGCTTAGACCAGGTGGAATTGACACAGGAGATCGAATAACTGCAGATGAACCAACTCGAGAAGTATCAATTTTTGCGACACTGAAACCTGCTCTCGCAGCCCTGCGCTCCGCCAAACCACCATTGGAGTTTGATTTATGATTAGCACTGAACAAAGTTGGCTTCAGGGAGAAACCCTTTTGAAATGGGTCATTGACAGCATGAGCAGGGACCTCATCGCTCGAATTCACAACTTCTCTGCTCTTTTCGGATTGATCATGGGTCTTGTTGGTGCCATGTTCACTGAAAAAACCAGAGAATGGCTCGGAGCTGAATTCTTCATTCAGGAAGCTTGACATGAGTGTTCTTGGGCTTGGTGTAGGGGGCGGCAACCATTCGTCAATGAGGGATCCATGGTTACTTGCGCCGGCCATGCCAGAACTCTCTCTCAACTGAAACAAGTGCCATGTAATACGTACCACATTAGTCATGTTGAAATAGGTTGCCCGGTAGTAAAATTGAGCAAAAAAAATCCTTTATCTTTTTCTCTTTACATAGCGAGGACAACAAAGTTGAAAACCAATCGGGATCATATAGCAGAAGAAAATAGCCAAAAGGCAGAACACAAAAAACAAATAAACCGTATATGGCCAGTAGCACACAGACCAACTAAACTCCAGTAAGAAAACGTCAACTAAAATAAATTGAGATGACACATAAGTCAAATACAAGAGTTGAAGAGTTGACAAATCAACTAAAATAAACTGCAGCCTTTACAAAATTTTCCAGAAAATTCATTTACGAGTGACCGAAAACACACATTCGCATGCAGAACGAAGAACCCATATTACAGCCCAAGCAAGTAAATTGCAAACCAAGCTGCAAACTTTCCCCCAAGAAAGCACTGAATCGCCGCAACTGAAATGAGAAAAATAAAATCCAAAGACGCGAACTTTGCGATCCCCAAACGATCTCATCAATCCTCAACAGCTCTGAAAAAAAAAATTCTATGCCGACCTATGCGCCTTCATCATAAACATAAACACAGATGCAAGAAAAGGTACAGTCATCAAAATAGAACAGGAGAGGACTTGCAACTGGCACCTGAACTGGGAAGGGCGACGTCTCCAATACCAAATGATTTGAGTCTTGTCCTCTTCTCCCCGAAAGCGAAGCAGCAGAGCGCAACAAAGCCGTCAGGTACAGGCACGGATCATGTGAACGGAAATTCCTCCAACAAGAACACGAAGAGCTAAAAATGGGGGACTCCCTTTATCGATGTTCTTGTGTGCCTCGCCCTTCCACCAACCTACCAAAAGGCTACTACAAACGAGGGGAACGACGAAGATCTCGGGGGCACAAATGGAGCTGCTGAGCTTCCATTCCACCAACCAAGAACCCTAAGAGAACAAAGGAGTCGGAAACAGAGGAAAGAAACTCCCAACAAAGTGAGATTTTGCTCCCTCTTTCCGCCTTTCTTTCTCCAGCCTCTCGGTTCTCCGGGCGCTACTTTTTTTTAGAGAGGGAAGAGGGAGAGCCGGGGAGGGGGGAGAAGAGTAGGAGAGAGAAAGGCGGTTTGACCGATGAGACGATGGGGTGGGGAGGAAGACTTACCCTGAACAGGCGATGGCTCTTTATGGGGAAAAAAAATGCTCTCCTCTAGCTCTACTGCTCTAGTGCTCTACTAGTCTCCTGGGCCCTGGCTACAGCCCTCTATTGCTACTGCTGTGCCTATGGTTTTAATTTTTTGGCCATGTTTAGATTGCAAAAAATTTCAACTCGATAAATAGTAGCACTTTCGTTTTATTTGGTAAATATTGTCCAATCGTGGATCAACTAAGCTCAAAAGATTCATCTCGTGATTTTCAACTAAACTGTGTAATTAGTTATTTTTTTTATCTACATTTAATGCTCCATGCAAACGGCTAAAAATTGATGTGATGAAGAGAGAGTGAAAAAACTTGAAATTTAGAGGTGATCTAAACAAGGCCTTCAACTCTCTTCCCTCTCTTTCATAAAAAAAACTATCTTTTCTCTCACTAGTCCCTCCCAATTGGCTATATAGAGTCTGTACATGGTGATTTCTTTTTTTCTCAATTGGTTTTTCC